TTGAGACTAAAGCTTCATCCATGTCCAGAATTTTACCATCCACATCGTCAGTAGAACTTAATAGAGATTGACTCTTGACAGTTTGAGGTTCAACATTTGAAGCTTCCATCTTGGAACTTCCCTTGATGCAAGATGGTGACTTCTCCTCAGACTTTGACCCCAAAACTTCCATGCTTTCAGGCGAAATGGCAGCTGATTTCATTTCATTTTCACAAGCCTCAGTCTCTTGCATATGAACCTCAGAAACTTTCCCTTCTCTAGCTTCAATTTTTTCCCCACATTGGTCAAGGGACTCCTTCAATAGATCATCATCAACTGGAACTTCTGTGTTCATAGTTGATGACTCCATGCATTGACTGTTACCAATCTCAGATAGTGAAAGAAGTGCCTCACCTTGAGCAAGGTCTCTTCTTTTTTCTTCTGCATCCTCCTTAACAGAATTGCTGCCAATTTCAAACTCAGAATGTGAAACAACTGATGCATCCATATGATGGCTTCCACTTTCTAACTGTTTGAGATCTCTCACAAACAAATTTTCAGACATAGTAGAGTCCGAAGACAAATCCACCTTTTCCAAAGTTGACAGTACAGGAAATGACTCTTCCGGTAAGCTTTGACTCACAATAGACTCAGGCTTTGAATCAAAGACCTTTGCAGTCTCTTTGCTCTCTTGCTTTTCTGCATCTCCCTTTTCACACGAATGCTTAGATTTATTCTGTTCAGGGTTCAAAGATGGAACTTCAACTTCAATAGATGATTGAGTTGAAACACGATCCTTGACTAGAATATCGTCCTTTTCACGTTCAGCAACTACTTCCCCAGATTCATTATTGGTTCTGTCCTTTAACATCTCAGAAACCAAACTGCTTTTTCCCTTGGGCATATCATCAGAGGCTACAGATTCATCCATATTGAGATTTGTGGCATGTTCAACTATTTTGTCTCTTTCCTTTCCAAATGGAGGTTCGCACTCTACACTGTCGCCAGCAAGAGTCATCGACCCAGAAGTTTGTGCAGCCTCAATGGTTCCAGTATTTAAACTTTGATCTTTGGTCATCTCAACAGGGATGCTGCTGACTTCTGCTCTAATAGACACATTATCTGAGGCTATTGATTTATCCATCTCAGGATTCTTGGCAGACATGATAATTTCATCAGATTCCTTTCTACATTGAGATTCAGACTTTTCACAGTCACTAGCCTGAACTGTTGACCCAAAGGTGGATGCATCCATAGGTGTTTTAATATTTAAAGTTCGGTCTTTGGTCAATTTAACAGAAGCACTGCTCAATATTGGTAAAGATGCACCTTCAGACATTCCGGGATTATTACAATCTTCAGGCACCTCAGGATTTGAAGCAAAGGAGCTATCCAATAATGGGTATTTATTATCTTGTGCAACACATTCTTCCAGAGACTGATTACTGGACTCTGACAATGGGAGGCTCAACGCTTGAACTGGTAATTCCAGGGTTGATGAAGTTGATGGCAGATTTTCACAAACCTGAGGTTTTGATACGACGACTTCATCTGCAGTTTGTTTCGGACAAGGATCCTTGGACTTGTCTAGAGAAACATCCGCATCTGTAGTAGAACCTGCAGTCATAAATTTGATCTTAGCACTATAAAACAGAAGAAGAAAATATGACCATAGCTTACAAATAGCAAAGTCAACACAAATATGAACTTAATCCAATAAAGCCTGTCTCATACTGAGAGAACATGAATATAAATAAATAGAATTAAATTACAACACAACTTAGAAATGGAATACATGATGAGTATATATTCATATGAGCTAAATTATTTTTACTTGACGCAACAGTCATCATAATAAAATTACAATGAAGACCTCCAGTGTATCCCTTGAATATATGAAATCCACACTATGATTTAATTTCAAGTTAAATTTTCTCTTTATAATTGATTATAATCTTTAAAACTCATTTAGAAAAATTAAGATTCACCATCTCGAACATTCATCATCTGTTGGTGTAAAGTAATTAACTTCTATTTTACAATAATTTTCAATTTAACTCGGTAAAAAGCTGAGTAAAAATTCTGTTAGACCAGCAATACAAATTACTTATCAAAGGTGCAGGGGTAGTAAGGGAAATGCATAAGAAGAGAGGCCACATGCACGGTTACATGAGTTGGTTGGGGAAGGAACAGTCTAGAAGAGAAGCAACCTATAAATAAGAGAAGGGAGCTGCAGTGGAGTAGGAGAGTAGTGGACCTCTCGAATGTTCACATCCATATCCTTGTTATTTTTTCATTTAATCAGTTCCTTGTATTTCAGATCCGTCATTAGTATATTCGATCTTTCATGAGTGTGATTCCAGTTCATTGATGAAATTTAGTTCTCATTTATCTTAAGGGTGCGTTGAGTAAATTGTCATTATTACCAGTTCCATATCAAATTCATGCAGTTTGACAATTATATTAAGCTCAATAACTCACAGGACACTAATACTTTCATTAAAAGAGGGGGGAAAAAATCTAATGTTCTGATGTTTATGGTAATCTTCAAATGTAGAAGGAAAAATATTTTAACAGTAAATATCAATTATGCCAGTGCGTCAATGTTAGTTATAAATTTTTTTAGATACCGTAGGAGTATTAATTGTTTTCAAAATGATCAGTAATTTTATTAATAAAAATAAACAGGTTTTAGCTTCAGAATGCCAGATTGAAATGACGTCATACTATGGGTCGGAAAATTCCACCCCCACCATAATTAATATTATGCATTCGACCAACTGTATGATATTCAACTTGAGAGAGAAATCACTTTGGCATAGAAGCACTTAGCATGTTAAATTTTTTATCAATTTACTTCAAACATGAAGATTACCCTTAGGGATCTGTCGTGCAGAAAGATCATCAAAACCAGGAGGAACAGATTGGCTCGCATTTGCCAGTTCCTGAGACTCATTCCCCTGCTTACTCGTGTTGGACTTCCAACGAGTTTTTTTCTCTGGGGGTGTCGTTGAATTTGAATCTTGACAGGTTAATCCATCTTGAACAACAGGTACTAAAGGCTCCTGCCTCCTACGTCTCCGTTGGGATGTCTCTTCACTTTGAACTTTGCGTGCTCTACCTCTTCCTTGCTTTGCCACAGAGAGGGAAGGCGTAATAGATGGTGCACCAGGATTAGCCGAAGCCTGAGTAGGGGTTACTTGGGATGTCAGAGCAGACACAACACCTGTTTCTTGTTGACTGATACTTGCCACAACAGATGTACCAGGAGCAGAATTTTGTTCAGGAACCTTCAAAGGGATGGAAATGGGTACTTGTGACCCAACACCCAATTTCGAAGGTGACGGAAGAGCAATAATAGATGGAACTGAACTTGGTTCATTACGTACTTCCTTTGTAATGGGACCAAGGGACACTGGGTCAGTTCCTGGAGGGACTGTAGAACTAGAAACTGTTGAACCCTGTATTTCCATGTCAGGTTTTCCAATCCCGGATGGTGAAGCAGCTACTGAAACATCTTGTAATGCAGTGCTCTGTCTTTTTCCCCTGCGCCTTGAAGGTTCTCCTGTTTGAGGTTTTCGACCTCGTCCTCTACCTCGCCCAGATGGAGACGGGGAAGCAGCAGACTGAGAAGCAGGGATAAGAGGAGAAGCAGTTGGCTCAGAGTTGGGAACAAATCCAAACTGTTGCATGGCTCCAGTGATACTTCTTACAGGGGTAAAATCAGGAGCAGGCACCATAGGATCTGATTCCCCCTTGGAGCTCTCATTCATTTTTCCAGCTCCCAGAGGTGCAGGAAGAGGAATGGGTGTAGTAATTTCCAGAGTCATTCTTTTTGGTCTCCCACGACCACGTCTGGATGACGGTGTAGCCTCTTTGCTTTGTTGTGTGAGTGAATCAGCAGTTTGATGTTGTGAAAGATGAGACACTGCTGGCATTTGTATTTCACCCTTGACCACAACGCCTGGCATTTGTGTTTCACCCTTGACCACGTTGGAGCCACTTGTAGTCATCGGTAGCATCTTTCCAGTCATTTCTTCCTTCACCATAGGAGATTCCAGAGATTCAACTTTGCAAATTCTTTCAGGTTCGTTTCTTTTCCATTGCTCTTCACAAGCTCGAGCACCTAGAGGTGCAGGTCGAGGAATTGGCGTAGAGGTTTCCACCGTCATTCTTTTCGGCCTTCCCCGGCCACGTTTAGATGGCAGGGTAGTATTTCTGCTTTGTTGTCCCAGTGGCTCAGAGGTTGGATATTGGGGAAGCTGAGGCACTACCGGAACTTGTGTTTCACCCATGATCACAACAGAGTCACTTGTACCCATTGGCAGGATCTTTCCACCCATTTCTTCCTTCATTATAGGAGATTCTGGAGACTCAGCTTGACACATTCTCTCAAATTCCTCTTCAGTCCATTGCTCTTCATACGAGCGGACCTAAAAAGTAAATAACCAAAAAATAAGAACTCCAAACAAAGTTACATTTCTACTGGAATGATCAGCAATGCAAGTTAATGGATACACTTCGGCTAAACAACGAATGAAACAGATGATGAATGCAAGATCATGTTGCAAATTATAAGCAAACCTCTCTTGCTCGTTTGCCCCTTCCGTAGTGTTGGGTGTCAAGCCCTCCGATAGACCCACTTTTTCGCTTTATTGCAACATTAGATCCAACACCTGAATTTGGTACTTCAGATATCTTCATGGCTTTGTAAAATAGTTTTAAGTCATCGTCCACTAGAAGTCGAGAAGGCAACGGAGGTAAAGACGAGTTTTCTACCACCTTTTCACTAAATAAATTTTGCCATGCCACCTACAAAATTCACAGCTGTCTTGAGTAGAAAGAACTGAGTGATATTATTAAACATAGTATCAAACCTACAAACAAGAATAAACATGTATGAGGATTTTGGGGATCACCATTTCTTCATGCTGCCTCTGTTTGTCAACCAAATCAAAGATATCAATTTCAGACCCACTACATCACAATATCATTAAGAAATAATTAGTCCATGTACATGGGGATGTATGGAAATATTCTTAAACCAATATTAAGAAAGAAAAAAGCTCGGGCTGGCTACAAAGAAACAGCTTAACAGAGGAATAAGGGTAGCGTAATGCTAAGCAGTAACCATTATGCAACTAATTGCAGATATGTTGAAAATTTTGCCGATTTAGAACACAAAAATGAGATTAAAGGAGGGAAGTAAGAAGAGAATTTGACGTGAAGAATTCCTCAAAGCCTTCCATAAGACACCTAACGTAGCACATGCAAGTTCAATAATATGTACAGTAAGATGGTTTCAAACAAGGAAGATGGGAAAACACATTAGTCAATCTAAAGTGACAACTAACCATCTGAGTACAAGGTAACAGAAATAACTATTAACTTGGCACAACCAAAAAGTGTTTATAATAATTCAAGAATTCTGGTCTTAAAAATAGCTAGTGCAGCAACATAAATCATTTTAACCACAGTGGTTACTTTAAAAAAGTTCATTTACTAATGAAAAGGTTGAGCAGAAGAAAAAATCGACCTGCGTGCAATTAGATCATTTAATGCGTCATCATCCAAAACAGGTGTAGCTTCCTCTTTCTTGCACTCCCGCAATAGAGCCTCCAGGTATTCTCTACGATCTTCCGCACTGAGATATGGTTTACAGATTTTATTTAGAATACATCAAAACTGCTCATACTTTTCATTGTTTTTTAGTTAAACAGTAACCGAGTTACCTAGTGTTGTTGTCAAAAAAACCAGCAGTTATACTCTGATTAGCAACCCCGAGTTTGTGTTCAGCAGCAGCCCTAACTTGCTCCTCAACCGTTTGAACCTTGTTCAAGAGTAATCCAATATAAGAACAGATGTTTAAGTGATCAGAAAAAGAAGGTTCTAAAACCATATCCATGCACAAAAGCATTCGAAAATTCAATGCAAGATAAGGGGTTTCAACCATTTAGACTTGTATAATACTATACAAATATAGTTAGAAGCTGAACCAATAAATGAGTTTAAACCATAATAGAATTTTAAAATACTATCCCAAATACAATTAGAAGCTGAACCAATACATCTTGAAAGTTGTCAATGGAACAACTATGCACTTATTTAACACAGTTATAATTCTCATCTACTGTCACAAATCATGTTTATCATTAGGACATCAACATGGGCACTGAATATCTATATTTTAACAATACTTTTATTTGGAATGTCTTTTTAGTTTGATTCTGATATTAAGTTTTGCTTAATCAATAGTTAAAACAAATAAGTAAAGAAGCAGTACAAAGCGCCAGAAGTTTAGTTAACTCCAAGAAAATTCCACATCAAGGTCTCATGCATATTATTTACTGTGAGATTCAACTTGCTAAACTAGCAGAACTTCATAATTGACAGATTTTTTAAAATCATAGTACCCCTGGCAAGAAAAAATTGGCACCAAATGATAATCAACAATAATCTGTCACCGACAAGCATTAACCCCTTGTTAAATTACCGAAAATCAAAACCAATAAAGACGTCAAAACTTGAGGGATTGAGTTGGGTATTATTATGAGCAAAAACATAACAGCAAATTCCCTGCGGGGAAATTATAATCATCAAAAAGAAAGTGGCGTTGAACTAAGCATTAATATTAAACCAGTAAGCAAACGAAATTCTTTGGGTCAGAGCTCCATATTAGAAAGGGTAACATCTCAGAAATAGCGTAAACTTAACATTCCATGGACCATAGGTAAACAACCAAAATATAATGTAATTCCAGAATTGAAGTACACACCGTTTCTAATCTAAGAACAAGAACATCCTTCTTTTGACCAATCCTATGAGCCCTTGCCTGTGCTTGCAGATCAACCTGAGAGACAAAAGATTTCAGCCAATATTGAGTTCTTGCGTTGAAGGATTTTACATTTTATAAAGAAGAGCAGCATTGAAATGTTGCCTGAGGATTCCAGTCTGTGTCAAAGATGATCACTGTATCAGCAGCTTGAAGATTTACACCAACACCTCCGGCTCGAATGCTGGAACCAAATTATAATGGGTCATTGCAACTAAGACAAGCATAAAAACTTGAAGATTAACTACCGTTGAAGGTGCAACTCCACTGAAACATAATCTTCCAAGTGGGGAAGGACCTACTTATGACCTGGGGATCCATGATCTCCTCATCCCAAGAATAACTCCACTTTCTGCTTTAGTTATTTTTTTTAATAGGTTGCCCCCTCACATATCTATCTAGCAGCCCATTTAACATGCTAATGTAACAATATTAAAATGTGTCTAGCTATCCACGCTATTGTATTTTGTGTGGAAGAGCCTCTTGTTAACCCTAGACTAGCTTCGCATCTTCTGACATGAAATGCAATATTACTCTACTGATTCTCTCTTCAAGCACCAAGAAACCCTTTCTGGTAATAAAATTTGTGTTGATTGAATGAACTATTCGGATTTCGGCCTTACCATACTGGATACAAAACAAGTCTACATTGTCTAGCATTATTATTGAATTAAAAAGACAGAATGTCTCTCATGATAGTCAAAATATTAGAAGTTTGAATTCTTCTTTTCAGAAATCAAACCACACAACGACGTCACCGGATAGTTTTTCAATCCAATCCAACCACATTTCAGTATTTCCACTGGAGTTCCCACAATAGCAAGTATCAACAATCAAAGTAACATTAGTAAAACTGCCTTCTCCATTAGATCACTCAAAGCCAGCATTAGAATTGGATTCTAGAAGCCCCAATTATTCCACCTCTTACTGATGCAAACTATAAGGAAAGCATCTCTGGTCAAGTCTGGCTCTTAAAAAATTCCAACTATACTGGTCCGATGTAGTTAAATCATTACCTGAGCAAAAATATAAAATAGGGGGAACCAGGTTGATTGAACTTCTCAATAAGAGCTCCTCGATCACCCCCAGATGTATGTCCATCTAAGCGAAGGTATTTATATTGTTTCCAGCAGAGATAGTCCTCCATGACATCAAGGAGTCTAGTCATTGTTGAAAAGAGAAGAACCTGCAGAACAAAAAAATACATATTTTCTAA